TCCGAAACTTGTTTCCTTTGAATGTTTGTTTGGTAAATATGTGTTGATTGTGTACGTATGTATGTGTGTATGCATGTATGTATGTCTGTTCTCTGCTGTCAACTGATCTAACACTATTTAACTTATATTTTGTTTTTAGTATTGTAGTTAATTTTTAGTAAACCACCATAAAATGAAATTAATTACTAACGCATACAGAAGCACACAAACCCATACAAAAACACACACACAAACACACACAAACAAAAACATTTTTGTTAATGAAATCAGGCTTAACCTTGAGTTAACTCTTAATTATCTTTTTTATTTTAATAGCATTTGAAAATTTAAGAAAATTTTCTAAGTTTCGGTTTCAAAACTTTTAAAAAAATTTATTTAAAATTTGCAAAAAGTATTTGGATTCTTTTTAATTATGCAGCCTGGACACGAGCGTGTCGTCACAAAAGCTAGTTTGGTGCTCTACTTAGACTTGTGCGTATGAATAAATTTCCAGTTTTTTGTGTGGTTTCATCTATTTATGTGTGTGTGTGTTGTGTGTGTTTGTCTGTTTGTGTGGGTGTGTTTGTGTGTGTGTGTATGTTTGTGTGGGTGTGATTGTGAAGGTGCGTGTGTGAATTCGTAAGAAATACTTTTTATTTAGTCACTTTTGAGGTACTTTTCATTTTCCGAATTATCATTCTGATGTTTTGTTGAAATTTTTTTGCAGAAACGGGCTTACGTGGATTACTTTTATAATTTTTTTAAAAATTTTTTTTCTGTATGTACATTATTTTGAATTTCATAATAAAATAGATCAATATATAAATTTTTTTTTTTTAAATGAGAAATTTCATATTTCACACACACGTGTGTGTTTGTGTGTGTGTGTATGCGTGCGCGAAATCACGAGGCATGTTTATGGTTAATAACATATAATCCGACCCTCGTTAATTCCAAGTTAGGGCCTTCTAAAGTCATCCTAAAACATTCTACAGACTCTAAAGAACTTTCGGGCTTTTCCAAGTGTTCTGATATAAGTAGATAGTCGTGTGTGTGTGTGTGTGTGTGTGTGTGTGTGTATGTGTGCACTTACACGCTTCATGCAAACACACACACACACGCACACACACACACACACACACACAAACACACAAATACAGAAACGTTTAAAGAATGTTAACAACGGCATATTAAAGCTAGATGTTGAAATTATTCCAACTATAAAAAAAGTGTCTCGAGTACGTAAAAAAATTAAAAATTTATAAACCTGAAAAGAGTTGCCATGAGATAAGTGAAGGTTTGAAAATAAAGACCATCTGCTGCTTAGCAATGAAAACATTTGTATGTATGTTTGTGTACGTGTGTGTGTGTGTGCGTGCGTTTGTGTGTGTGAGTGTTTGTGCATGTGTATGTGTGTGGTCATGTAGGCGTGTATGTATGTATTAAGTGCTGTTAATACAAATAAACCAACACAAAAGTATGCAATTGAACAAAAGTATACAAAAACATACAAAAATAAACAAAAACATACAAAAATAAACAAAAACATGCAAAAAGACAATACAATGTCTTATGAAAATTTGTCAAATTTTATAAATTAGTTTAAGAAATTTTTAGTTTAGTTTCTTTTTCATTTCATTTTTCTCATAGATCAATTTAATGGAAATTCTGGATATGTGGTTTCTACTTCATATGAGTTTGATCTTTTTGATTATTGAATGGAATTATGTTTGCTCTGTGTGTGTATGCCTGTGGTGTGTGTGTGTTTGTTGATTTGTATGAGAATTTGAAAATGTGTATGAATAAGTGATATCATGTGTGTGAGCGAATGTATGTGCATAATTTTAATCGTGTGTTTGTATATTGATGTGTGTACGCACGTGAATGTGTTTGATGTGTGCGTGCGTGCGCGTGTGTGCTTGCACGTGGGTGTGTGAATACAAGTCGAGCGTTCGAACAAACGTCTGCCATTGACAATCATATTTATATATCGACATTCTTCGGATGAATAAATAAACAAAATTATTTCAATTTTTCAGTTCATCCATCATTTCCCTGCTCATGGTAGAGTTGTGGGTGGTGATTGTGGGTTAGTGATGGGTGGGTGGGTGGGTGGCAGTTGTGTGGGCGGTAGAATGGTGGTAGCGGCAAAGTTTGGTGGATGATTTATATGACCAGATGGTTGAATAGAACATGAATTTCTCTCAAACTGTTAGAGATGGATTAACTATCATTATAACTGATGTTGGTCTGTTGAATTTGAATTTTGAGTGTGTTTGCGCTTGTGTCCGTGTGTCTGTGTGTGGTTGTGTTTGTGCGTTTTTGGGCGTGAATATGGCATCGTCATCTTCATCGTCGTCATCATGGATATCTTCTTTCCCTTGCTCTATTGAGTGCAGTCATGCAGTCTTCTTAAGTTCCGTCCTATCGTGCCATGTCACTCCCATTATCGCAAAGGAAATGCTTTTTGAAAAAGAACAACAAGAATAATTTTAACAACAACAACAACAACAACAATAATAATAACAATGACAATAACATTAATATTAATAACAACTACAGCAACCGCAGCAACAACTACAACTACAACAACAACAACATCAATACAACAACAACAACTACTACTACTACTACAACAACTACAACTACAACAACATCAATACAACAACAACAACTACTACTACTACTACTACTACTACTACAATAACAGCAGCAGCAACGACAACTACTACAACAATAACAACAACAACAATAATAATAGAAATAGTAACAACATTAACACAAAAAATAGCAATATTTACAGCAATATAATCAAGGAATTCAAATACGTGAAGACGCATTTGTTCATTCTATCATTCGCTGAATTATTTATTCGTTCATTTGTACATTCGTTTGTTCATTCGTTCGTTCGTTCGTTCATTCATTTGTCCATCAGTCAATCAAGCGATTAGCCCGCCTTCTTTTATTTTTATTTTTATACTTTTTTATTTATTTTGTTTTTTCTATTTTATCCTTTTATTTCCATCGTTCCATCATTTTTCTCATTCATTCATTTCCCTTCTCTACCATCGAACTATCCACCAAATTATATATTCATTCGTTAATTGAATGACAATCAATTCTCTACTTGCACTGCATTCTATCATTCATTTATTTGTTCATTCATTTGTTCATTTATTCGTTCATTCATTCGTTCATTCATTCATTCGTTCATTCATTCATTCATTCATTCATTCATTCATTCATTCATTCATTCATTCATTCATTCATTCATTCATTCATTCACTCATTCACTCATTCATCCACTCATTCATTCACTCATTAAAATGATTAATTGACCCGGCATTGAAATGTTCAGTATATTTGATGCGTCTGGCTGGCAGACTTATTGATTTCACCCTTTTTATGTTCGCGGGCTCTGCGTCACTTCGGTCTCATCATCATCACCAACACCATCACCACCACCAGTTAATGTTATTGTCATAGTTAATGTTATATAACTAGTTAATGTTATTGTCATCATCATCGTAGTCGTCGTCGTCATCATGGTCATTTTTATGGCCACTCATTATTGCATTGGGTGTCGTATTTGAGAGGTGTGATAATGTATCCTACTTTGAAAATGACAGGCTGATGATGATGATGATGATAATAATAATAATAATTATATTAGTGATAATATAATATAATAATCATAATATTATCATTTTTATTATTATAACGATGATGGTGATAATGGTGGTGGTGATGATGATGGTGGTCGTTTTTTGTGTTGTTTTGACTTTGGTGTTATTTCTTGTTGTTAACGTGTTTGATAGTTGAAACGGTGTTGCTATTATTAATATTATTATTGTTGTTGTTGTTTTTATTGTTATTGTGTTTATTATTATTATTGTCGTTGTTGTTATAGTTAGTATTGTTGTTGTAGGTGTTGTTATGCTTATTATTTTGCTTATTATTATTATTGTTATATTTATTAAAATTGTTCTTGTTGTTGTTGTAATCGTTGTTATAATTATTATTGTTGTTGTTTAAATATTTTTAATTTATATAGCGCAATAACACTGCATCATTCATCAACACTACAATCTCACGGAATGAAGAACTATTAAAGAGGCTGTTGATGATGTTGTTGTTGAAGTTGTTGTTGTTGTTGGTGGTGGTGTTGAAGTTGTTGATGTATAGATAATAATTTTTTTGTTGTTGAAGATGTTATTGTTAATAACCTTGCTGTTTTTGTTATTGTCGATTCTTTTTGTTGTTGTTACTGATGTTGTTGTTGTTATTGATGTTGTTGTTGGCAATGTTACTGTTAATAACCTTGTTGTTTTTATTATTGCCGATTATTGTTGTTGTTGTTAATGTTGTTGATGACGTTGTTGTTGTTGTTGTTGTTGTTGCGCACTGTCATTGTTCTAGAGTGCGAAATTGTTGAGTGTTGAAAAATAAAAAATTTTACGTAGTCGGCGCCAATTATGCTTTTAAATTAGTTTCTCTCCAAATGTTGTTGATGCTGTTGATAATGTTGTCGTTGTTGTTGAAGTTGTCGTTGCGGTTGCTGTTGCTGCAGTTTTTGCTGTTGTATTCTAGATTGTATACAAAGAAGACATCAATAAAATAAGTTTCTCTCACGGCAATGGCAATTCTAACATTATTAGCGCCATTGTGCCCAATAATTTGGCAGCCTCTGTATTAATACTTTCACAAAATACAATCGTTCTACAAACATACAAAGTACACAAACACACTTACACACACACACGCACGCACATAAACACGTACACAGGGACACATCAATTTACATACACATACAAACGCACACACAGTCACACACACACGCACACTCACACACTCATTCTTTCTCTCTCTCTCTTTTTTCCTTTCTCTCTCTCTCTCTCTCTCTCTCTTTCTCTCTCTCTTTTGAATTTGGAAATCCTGTAAAGAAACAAGGCGAATACACATGCCAGTTTATTTATAACTATCATTCTAGAGAAATAATAGAGCATCAAATCAATGCTAACATGGTTTATCAAAATATCATCCAAATGTACCGTAGATATTGTAAGTTAAAATATTGACAATTAATAAATTAAATATTAACAGTTAATAAATTAGATATTAATAATTATTGAATAAAATATTAATAATTATTTTTTAAGAATATTAATATTTTTTAGTATTTATATCAACTTTTTTTTTCTTATGACAATTTTTCAGAAACAAAACTAAGACACATGTGTTTTTGAAAAAGATCGAAAAATAAGAATGAATGAATGTATGAATGAAGGAATAAAATGAACGAACGAACGAACGAATAAACGAACGAACAAACGAATGAATGAACGAATGCGGACGAACGAGGGTTTTCTTTTTAATTCGTTTTTTATCATACTGTCTTCACCTTTTTCATACTGGCTTTTATTTTTTATCTCGTCCGTTTCCTCCTCCTCCTCACCATCATCATCAAAACCATCATCATCGTCATCATCATCATCATCAAAACCATCATCATCGTCATCATAACCAGATACTACGTCATCGTCCACCCACTGAATGCCAAGGTCATGAGTACGAAAGGCAAGACCATCAAGCTGATAGCGGTCAGCTGGCTGTTGGCCACTCTGCTTTCTCTACCCTACATCTGCGCCCATGTCTACCATATTACCATCTCAAGTTACCTTGGAACTGTCTCAAGGTCAATTTGATTTTTAACGACTGCTATATTGTTTGGTGGCAAAGTAAAAGATATTTTACAGTTGACTAATTAATTAGTTAATTAATGAATTGATTATTAATTAGTTAGTTAATGGTTAATTAATTAATTATTTAATTGTTCTCCGATGGTTAATTAGTTAGTGTCTGACGGTGCATTAGATGCTGTCTAATTTATTTACTAATTATCAATGGTTAATTAATTTAAGATTTGCCAGAAACAAATTGATGAATGTTTGCTAATTAATTGATGGGCGATTGCTAATTAATTGAATAGATTACTAATTAACTAATTAACATCTCTTTCTTTCAAGTCAGTTTGGCATTGCTTCAAGAGAGTTGTAAGTGTAATCGTGTTACTGATTGATTGGCGACTACACGGCGAAACCCCGGTTTCGATCCCAAGAAGATTCAAATTTTATCAATTCACAGTGACAACAGCGTATCCTTGATACACACAAACACGCTCGCACACACATACACACACATGAACACACACACACACACGCACACACATACAAACTCACTCATACACACAGATATGAATATGCAAAATTTTATGTATATACTACAAAATGCGGTCATTCAAATTCGAAATGCCTAGAATATCTATATAATTTACGTTTGTCAATGTCATCGGGTTCTTCTAAATTAAATTTTTTTTATTACCCGTGAAGATGTCATCCATCTGCATATCTAGTAAAAATGTCTTTTTTTTCCATAGCAACTATTCCTTTTATAAAAAAAATTTTAAAATTTAAACATTTTTTCACTATAACCTATTTTTTTTGCGAAACTTAGGTACTTTTTTTCTGACATTTGTTTACACTACTATTGCTGGGATCTAGGTTTGAGTCATTTTTCAAACCAGTGGAGTTTTTAATTTCATTTAAATTTTTCAAATTAACAAATTTTTTGTTCTTGGTGGTAACTATCGTGGCTTCCAAAGCCACCATCTTAGGTTGAGTAATGATATACGTTTTTGAAAAATCATCTACTACTGCCGTTAAAACGTTTAATCTATTTTAATCTAAGCTACAGTTGTTAATGTTTCGAAATGTGGAAGTTGCATTGGTCGCTCCAAATATCTCATTCTCTCTCTCTCCCCCCCCCCTCCCTCTATCTACTCATAATTTGAAATTTCGTATTAAATTTGCAACTCTTTTTGACTGAGCAATCTTAATAAATAAATTAAAACAATTTACACGTCATTTTCTATTCAACCTAAGGACATTCAGCCCATCCTTTGTTAAGATCATTCCTTCGTTATAAACAATATCGCACTATATAGGTACACACATAGTACAAATGATAACAAAACGAAATAACGAATAACGAAATAACGAATAACGAAATAACGAATAACGAAATACCGAATATAGAGGCGTATGATAACTAAAAATTGTATAAAAATAATAACACGAGCCATAAAATGTAGTTGTAGTGACGTGTAGCTGTAACAAGTTCTCACGTAACGTAAGATCTCTTTCGGGGTATTAGTTGTATATATTACCATATATCTTCTGACGCGTGAAAAGCTGTCAATCAAGCCACAAAGGTCGCAATAGGGGTAACCCGGCTGAATAACACGCACACACATACAAACACACACACATACACACGAACTAACACACCATAACAAATATTCGTGTCTCTGTGTATGTTGCGTGTGTGTATATATATATATATATGTGTGTGTGTGTGTTTGTGTGTGTGTGTTGTGTGTGTGTTGTGTGTGTGTGTGTGTGTGTGTGTGTGTGGACTAGCTAATATCCTTCACGTTAAAAAGTTGATGAATATGGAGCGCGCAAAAAACTGACAAAAATTGTAAAAAGTTTGAAGTCCAAACACGTCTCTGCAGAAAAAAAATTGACGAGGAAGAAATATTTTTGAAAAATAAACAAAAAGAAATAAGATTACGAACATCCATGATTAGGGTATGAGATTTCAGAGAAAGGCCAACAATGGAACGCGCAAAAAAAAAACAAAAAAATATAAAAAAACAAAATAAACTACGAAAAAAATCATAAAAATACGTAAAAGCATGTATACATTGTCAGAATAAACCATAAATAACATGAACCCAACGCCAAAATGTTTCACAGGCAAACAATGAAGTTAAAAATTTGAACGCCATCACTGATGTACAAAAGTTGGAATTGGGAGTTGCCCAAATGTCACAGGGTAGAGACGCCAAAATTGGCATAAAAAGTGAAAACTGTTTAACTTTAAAAAATTCACTGTTACTTTTCTCAAGTTTTTAACAGACTCTACTTTTGAAAACTTTGTGATAAAATTATAGTTTAAAACAAACGCAACAGTGTCTGCGCGCGCTTGTGTGTGTATGTGTGTGTGTGTGCGTGTGTGTGCGCGTGTGTGTGTGTGTGTAAAAGATGAAGGAGAGACAGCGAGAGACTGAAAGAGAGAGACAAAGAGAGAGATCTGTGACACATTTTGACCTGAGCGTATGGTTTCTGCAGTTTTTGAATAGAAAAGAGAACTCAATTTAAATTTCAAATAAACTAATTTTTTTTAAATTGAAATAATAATTTCTTCTTAAATTCACCTAAATGACATCCAGTATTTTTTTTCAAAACTTTCTAATTTATGAGAAAAAAATCAAAATCGTCAGATGCCATTTTCCTAAAGAGTTTCTGTAAAATAATTTATCCAACCATCTCATTTATTTTCCGAAAGATTGAATGTTATCTCCGGACATGCTCTTGAAAAGAATTCGCCGAAATGTTTGCCCGCCCTTATAAATAGGCATTCAGAGTATTAAAACACACATAAGCATAATCTGATTTAATACAGATATGAAATCATATGAAGCCACTACAACGTTAAAAACAGCCACAAAAACAACAACAACACAACAAACAAATTAAACAATTAAAACATCAAAAACCAACAAACACCTATTCCCAAATTACAATCTACTGCAATATTTACGTCATCGTAAAACATAGTTTTGATTCGCCAAAATTAGCTTGCATAATTCAAACACAAACTACAACAATAAAAATAACAACCACAACAGCATCAACATCAACATCAACAACAACATTAACAACAATGACAACATCATCACATCATCAGCAGCAACAACATTAACAACAAAATTAACAACAACATCAACATCATCAGCAATCACAACTTAAACAACAACATCCACAACAACAACATCAACAACATCATCAACAACAACATCAACAACAACAACAACAACTAAAATAACAACATCAACATGAACGCTATCCACAAAGTCATCATTCAAAATACATGCACTACAAAAACATCAACATCTGCAGAAATAAAATTTACAACAACTGCTACAACTACTACCACAACTGCAAAAACAATTCACTAATGACTACGACTACTACTACAGCTGCTGCTAAATCGTTAGCTACAACAACATTTTTGAAGCAATTGCAACTGAAAACATATTTAACAAAAAATACTCTTTTTATCTCTCACTATTTTCTTCTTTTTCTCTTTTTTCATGCTCCTTTTCCTATCTTGCTCTTTTTTTCTCTTGTTTACTTTTTTCTTTGGTTTATTTCCCCTCTTCTCTCTCTTTCTCTTTCTTCATTTCTCTCTCCCCTCTCTCTATTTTTTACTCTCTCTCTTTCTTCATCTCTCTCTCTCTCTCTCTCTCTCTCTCTATTTCTCTTTCATCCTATCTTTTCTCTCCCTCTCTCTTTCTCTCTCGGTTTTTCACTCTCTTGATTTCTCTCTCTTTTATCTCCATTCTCTCCCTCTCATATTTCCGCGCGTAAATATTCCCATACCAAAGTCCTCGTTAACGAAACACCATCCTCCGAGCGATAACATATTTCTACGTTATCCCTTGTCGTTATGTGATATTTGACATACAACCACAAACACGCACGCACATGCACGTGTGCGTGTGTTTGTGCGTTTCTGTGTGCGTGTGTACGTTTGTGCGTGTGTATGTGCTATGTGCAGTATCGTTTGTATGTGTGTGTGTGAGTGTGTGTATGTGTATATGTGCAGTATTGTTTGTGTGTGTGTGAGTGTGTGTATGTGCAGTATCGTTTGTGTGTTTGTGTGTGTGTGTCATAAGCATACGTTAGCGTTCGTTTGGGTGTCTGTGTGCGTGTGTGTGGGTGACTGAATGAAACAATGCAAATATCATTACGTTAAGGACTGTGATTAGGGAATATTTATGCATTTGCTTGCGAGCGCGTTACGTTTCAAGGTGTTTCAAGGTTTTTGTATGAGTGCGTGTGTTTGTTTGTGCGGGTGTGTGTTTGCGTGTATACATATTTTTCTGTGTGTGTTTGTTTTTGTGTGTATCTTTGTTTGTGTTTTTGAACGTGTGGGTATGTGTTTGTATGCTTACTTGTATTTATACATCAAGCTCGTAAATTGGAATCCACAAATTGATTAAACAGATAGGAGCAGATTATTATGGAGCGAGAAATTGAACATAAACATCGAACAAAAACTCAAACCAAAAAATAAAATCTCTACTTGAGTGTATGTGCGTGTGTGTGTTTGTGTGTATGTGTGTTTTTTTTGTGTGTGTGATGTGTTGTTTGTGTGTTGTTGTTGTTGTGGTGTGTGTTCTGTGTAAATATGAATAAAAGAAAGATAGAAGAGAAATTAAAAATAATCAAAAAACAGATAAGGAATTTTAGTCATACAATAAAAATTATTCGGAATGTTATGTAAGGAAAAATTCTAAAGTCAACGCCACTGCTGAGAGCGATGGTGTTGATGATGATGACGTCATTTTTTCATCATGATGATGACGATGTTGTTGATGATGATGATAACGTTGATGATGAAGAAGAAGTAAAAGAAGAAGAAGATGACGGTGATGGTTGATGATGATGTCTATAATGATGGTGATGACGATAACGATGACGATAATATCTGGAAAGATTCACCAAAAAACAAACCAAGAAGAAGAAAAGCAACAAATTAAGCGGAATGAAACAAAAAAAATCACAAATAGCCGAACGAACAAATGCGAATTAATGGCAGACGCAAAACAGCTAACAAATTGAACGTACCTAACTCTTACGCATCTTTAATCCGGACCAACCTCTCTCTCTCTCTCTCTCCTCCCTCTCTCCCTCACACACACGCACGCACGTACGCACGCGCACAGACACACGTATTTGCAAATATTTCTCTACAAGCGCCATCAACATAAATCACCCAACAATGCTAACCTCGACACCAAACAACAGCATGGTTTGTTTCCATTTAGTCGGGGAAATAAATCGACACGCACACACCCAAACTCACACACACACAATTTCACACACACACACACAATTTCACACACACACACAATTCTACACACGCGCACGCGTACACACACACACACACACACACACATACACAATTACAGACAAACACACACTGAATCAAAATAAATCCCAAAACTTGTATGCCCTTCCAGTAATGGCGATTAATTTATATTAACAGGCAAATCTGCAACGATAGTTTTGACGATCTTGACAGTTACATTTTCGGCTGGGTTCAAGGCCAAGGTCGTATCAGGATGTGTTTCTTCATCTTCCTCTTCATCTGCATGTACATCGTGCCGATTTTTGTGATCGTGTACACGTGCGTACGTATATCCATAGTAATGCTCTTTGATGTCCCACAACTTCAACTCAACAACACAAACAGGATAAAGGCGGAGAAGAATAAAAGAAATGTACGTCTTAAGGGTTTGCTGGATGATTGGTTGGTTGGTTGGCTGGCTGGTTGGCTGGTTGGTTGGTGGGTTAGTCGGTTGGTTGGTTGGGTGGTTGGTTGGTTGGTTGGCTGGTTGGTTGGCTGGTTGGTTGGTTGGTTGGCTGGCTGGTTGGTTGGTTGGTTGGCTGGTTTGTTGGTAGGTTGGCTGGTTGGTTGGTTGGCTGGTTGGTTGGTGGGTTGGTGGGTTGGTTGGTTGGTTGGCTGGTTGGCTGGCTGGCTGGCTGGCTGGCTGGCTGGCTGGCTGGTTGTTTGGTTGGTTGGCTGGCTGGTTGGTTGGTTGGCTGGTTTGTTGGCTGGCTGGCTGGTTGGTTGGTTGGTTGGCTGGCTGGTTGGTTGGTTGGTTGGTTGGTGGGTTGGTTGAGTGATTCAATTAAAAACTTATTGAATAACAGGTTGAATATTTCCATCATACAATATGTAGATCTAATTGATTATTCAGCTGATCTGGTTTTTTTAAACTTGATTGATTGATTGATGACTGTTGATTCTTTTTTAGTTATTCATAAAGTTTCATAAAGCATATTTTGTTTTATTTTGACGGATGAGTTTTGGAAAGATCGTAAATAAGATTGATTTACCAATTTTAATATTAAATTACTATTCTTTTTTATATCCCACCTTGAAATGAATTCTTCTAAAACAAATAAAATTTTATAAATTAAATATGAGAAACAAAAATAAAGTATAGACGTTTTTAAAAAATCTTCGAGGCCATATTTGTTTGATGAAATGCGAACTGGTCTTCTGCGCTACAAGTTAAGCGCTAAATAAATAATTTAACATTATTGTTATTGCTATTATTATTATTATCTTATTATTATTATATACTACTATCTATAAATCAAAATAATATTTTTGCTATCATTTCAGTTTTAACTGTTCAATGTTTTACAAAGGTAATAAAAGTTTGAACTTGAATGTTGGTAATGTCAGCTTTTTATCATCCTCAAGTTCTTACCAGTTATCTAACATTCACATATATTTCACGATTGAGTTCATGTGCTTATAAAATCAGGTTTCATAACTATTTTCATTCAAAGTTACAACTACAAGCACAGACACACTCACAAACACAAACACATAGAAACACACACAAACACACACACACACAGGTAGCCTGCATGGTAGCAGTAGTAGCCATTTTCTTCCTCGTATGCTGGACGCCATTCTATCTGGTCACACTTATCAGTCAAATCCAGAAGGTCAGTTTTCTGAAGAAGTCCAACTACCTCTTCATAATGCTCCTGACGCATTTCTCTGGATTTGTGAACAGTTCACTCAATCCGTTCATCTATTTCGTTTTTAGTGCTAATTTTAGGAAAGCTCTGAGGGCCTCTTTGTTCGGGAGATGTGCAGATAGAAGTGAGGGTGACGTGAAGATCGTAATGAGGAAATGTGAGAGTACGAAAACTTATGCCTGACTATAGTTAAATTTGTGTGTGGATGAATGTAGGAATAATAAGGATAATAATAATAATAAGGATAATAATAATAAGGAATAATAAGGTTTTTTGTGCGACCGTTTTTTTGATTCACTTTGTCTTTTTTCCACATGTTCTGTTCTACTGTTCACTTTATTTTTTTTAGTTTTATTTAAATAGGGCAATTGTAACAGATGAAGAACAAAGTATCAAATTAATTATTCGTTCTATTATTTCTATTAAATTTTATAATCAATCTAGATGGTTATACTACATAAGCAACGTATTACATTCTAAATATTGCCACTTTACATTCATATGCATTGTTAATCTAATCAGTTTGTATTTATGTTCCAGTTGGTTAGTGCTTATTTGAACACATGTTATTCTTGTTCGTATTACACCCGCTACACTCTATACTATATGTCATATTTATTCTATCAATGTGTTTGTAATCTTGAAAAACATTTAACCGGTGATAATGAGTCATTTTATTTGTTTTTAGCTATTTTTATTTGTAGTGTTTTGTGTTCAGTAATGTATATAATGCGTATAAAATGTATAATGTTATTGGTGTATGCAACACACACGCACACATGCGCATACACACGCACACACACACAAAGATACACACACACATGTGTTTGTGTGTATGAGTATTACATTATTTATGAGGATGTGTTTGTTTAGTGTGTGTGGTGGAAGCGGGAAGAAATAAAATTCCACATAAGCTATTTTTGGAAAATACTGTCCAGTTAATGAATGAATGCGAAACAACAAAGCTTCAACGAAAACTCCAACAGAATTATAACTAAAAATAAAATCAATTATAATTAATTAATTAATAAAATGGGAAATTGACAAACGCAGTGTGGCTTAATGAACTATGATTTCACAGACAGGTATAGCCGACGTGAAAGGATTGCTTACTGCGCGAACAAACAAACAAACGAACGAACGAGCAAACAAACAAACACGGTTAACTAATGTACAATCCAATTTTTTGGTATCATTTTTTTACACAAACGTTGATAGAAACAAAAATATATCAACATATAAATTTTTAAAACAATCAAAACAGAATAATTTATTTTAGAAATGATTGTAAAATTGTAATAACAATAAATTAAAAATTGAACGTTTAAAATTTGAACAAAAAAATTTCTAAGAATTGCGCCGATTCTAAAAAGGAATGCGTTTCGTATGCTTAAAGTATTAATCCGCATACTTTGTTCACCTTTTTACCTTTTAATTTAGCAAAAACAAAAGTCGTTTCTTTATTCACTCACTCACTCTTTCATTCATTCATTTTTTCATTCATACATTCAATCATTCATTTACTCATTCATAGGTAAAAAGTAATAGTAGTAGTAAGTGTAATCTTGGCGTTTCTAAATTCAAAAGTGGAATTATTAAAAATTTCTTTTCAAAGCAGTTCCCTGATGTGAAAAATTAATTGATTTAAGCAATAAAGTTGGTGTAAAATGACAAATGAATTTGGGTCGGACGCTGCGGTTTCTTATGGTGAATTGAATCATCGAGCTTTTGGTAAGTAACTTTTCTTCATTTTTATTTTGGTGACTATTTTATTTTCATCATCAGCACACTCATCATCATCACAACCACCCCCATTATCGTCGTCACAACCACCATCACCACCACCATCATCGTCATCACCACAACCCACCATCATCATCATCATTTTCAGGCGAGAACACCAGGGTCATCACGATCCTCTTCTTCATCTCCATATTGGTTTGTTGCCTGGATATCATCGTCATCGTCAGTTGCCGCTGCTGCAGTGCTATCACAAATTATTTCTCTTCGAAAAGCTTGAAAAGGAATAATTTTAATGATTTGAAAAAATCAACTGATAATAATATAAACAGTAATGATAAGATTGTTGGTGATGATGATGATAAAGATGGTGACGTCACAGATGAGGACAAAGATGTCAGATCATCATCTTCCTCTTGCTGCAACGAAAAACTTCAGTGTGGTGACGGCGACGAGATGAATGACGAAAGGAAAAATGTTGACGAAAATGATCTCAACAATGAAAATACGAAAAAAGAATTATTAAAAAATTCAGCCAATAAAAAAGCAGTATCAGGATCGTGTGCAGCTGACGTCAGAAAGCCATCATTAACTTCCCAGCCAATTAGAGCAACCCATACATTAATATCAAAAAAATCGTCGTCGTCATCATCACCATCATCTCATCAGTTGGTTTCATCATCGTTGCCCTATGAAAGGTTTGTTAAAATTCGAAACAGGAACTGTTGTGGCGTCACTGATCTCCATAGCGACCATTGCGTCATCAACACTGACTACAACAACAACGAAAACAACAACGACAACAACAAAAACAGCATCAACAACAACAAACTCTACATTGGTCAAAACATTGACAACACCAACACAAATTTGAAACCAACAGATGATATCACTAATGAAGCAAACCTGGCTGGAATGCTTGGAGCTGGTGGCATCAACTTCAACAAATCCGTCCAATCAAAACGGCAGTCCTGGCCTCTGGCAACAGCATCAAAACACACCGACCACAACGTCACACCGAATGGAATCGAATTTAACCGATTCTCACAATCACTGCTTCATTCGTACAATCACCTTTCGCCAATTTTTGCAGCAAGGACAAGCGCGAAGAAAATAAAGTTTTCTCAAAGAAAGCGATCTCTTAGCAATTGCTATAGTTCAGTTCCTACGATGAGAAGTTTCCTTTTAGGAAGCTTCCCTGGGAGCAAATTACAACTCAGCAACACAAGTTCTCATGTTTTATTCAACTGTTTAGATGAAAACAAGCGACAAAGATCAGACAGCTACAACAGCCACAACAATAACAACGACATCAGCCACAACAATAACCACAACCACAGCTACGGAAAAATGGATACATTAAAGATGATCAACAATCTAAACGGAGAGGTAAGTGTGATAAAGAACTCTCTGGAAGAAATTAAAACCTCTTTGGAGCAGTTCAAATCTCGATTAGCAGATAAGTTGTACCCGAACCACTCAGCTTTTAGATTGACGCCGTTGTCGCCACTCTCGCCACCTGACGAAGAGAAGAAAAAAATTAATTTTAGAAATAATGACGATAGCGGTTTCCAGTTCAATCAAACCATGATGTGGGACAGTGAAGAGACCGGGTTTTAAGGGATCTTCCAATTTTATGTTTCATTTTATAAATTGAACGATGTTAAACCAACGCTAACGTATGAACGTTCACTTCTATTTTAACTTCCTAATCAGCAAAGAACATTAAAAAGAATTTTTTAAGTTGTATAACATCAGATTCATTGCTATTATCTCAATGATATCTTGCTATTCTTGATATCAATGATATCTTGCTATTCTTGGTATCAATGATATCTTGCTATTCTTGGTATCAATGATATCTTGCTATTCTTGGTATCAATGATATCTTGCTATTCTTGGTATCAATGATATCTTGCTATTCTTGGTATCAATGATATCTTGCTATTCTTGGTATCAATGATATCTTGCTATTCTTGGTATCAATGATATCTTTTTTGATATCTTTATCTGGTATTGGTGAATTCAGTTAAGAATTTGAAAATAATTTTCAATATTTTGTAAAATTATTTAATATAAAATCGCGGATGAAAAACTCTCAAAACTCCGCGGATTTTGCAGTTCGCGGATTTTGTTTGCGCGGTTCGCCACGGACGCGGATTCAAGTGCGTTATTTGAAAAACCGCCTGCAAAATTAAATTTTCTATTTTAAAACATTTTCAGATTAAATAATTTTGTTTTTAAGTTTGTTCGCATATTTGTACGTGTGTGAGAATGTATGTGTATTTAATGGCCATAGCTGAGTCTCTCTGGGTTCCACGATGGTAATGCCAAGCGAGCAGCTTCTACTAATTACTTCAGCAGATTTGAATAAATAAAGTTAGCTGGCTCACTTACGAAATTGCATGGGTTTTAACAAACAACTAATACTAAAAATTTACTTGATTACAAAATATTTTTAAAACAATAGGTATAGTTAAATCGAATCATTCAATTTAAAATTATCGTTGTCAATTTAAATAAAAATATAGATTTTTGAAGTAAGGTTTAGTTTCGTTTTTTATTTTTCTCATTCATTCGTTCATTTCATCACTCAATCTTTCAAATTATTCTTACATTAATTAATTCGTTAATTTATTCTATTCATTTATTGAATTATGGATTGATTAATTAATTCATTCATTCACTCATTCATTCAACCATTCAACCAATCATTCAATCATTCAGTTAATCATTTATTCGTTCGTTCCTTTGTTCCTTGATTTACCAACACACTAATAAAAAAAAATTGTCTACAGAATGATGAGAGGTGGGTTGTAGTGGGCGTCAGCACGTTTCAAATGGTGGTCTCATAATGATCGTTCCGATGACAATTCGAAAAAAACAACAACAATAATAATAAACATTAACGGGAAATTTTTTGCCATCGTACCATAGAAAGACAACACACACATAAACAACATCCATTTCTCAGTGTTGTCGTCGTTGTTATGTTTTTCTTCAACTTGCTATTTTCTTTACCGGACTTTAATTTAATTCGTATGTAAATTAGTGATTGAGATGAGTTGGACAATCGTAGGTAGGTTAGGGCTTAACATTAGTTCTAACAACAAAAATTCAAAATAACTGAAACATGTAAAATTCCTAAAACTTAGAAACACAAATTGATAGGTAGGTGAGATGAATTAATCATTATAGGTAACCTAGGGCCCTGAGAGTAATTTAATTGTAGGTAGGTGACTGACTACTATTCTTACGTCATTTTACTATTTTTTTTGTTATGTGTTTGTTTTTGCTTCACACCACCACACCAACAAAACATACTAAAAAATTTTTTCGTCGTCGCCTTAAATTTTACTTTTTTGATCAATTTTTTTAATAATGTCTATTTATTTATTTAATGTTGACTGTTTGTTAAAAATCAGAACTTTTTGAAAAATTCAAATTTTTTGTTTTTAAATGATAGCAAATAAAAACAAAGCAGCCATGTGTCTTTCTTGCTTTATTAAAATCTCGAAATTGTTGGTAGGCATGTTGGATTGAATGCTTGTTGGCGCTCCTGCAAATCTCGCAAATATGTTTTTCAATTCTTTTTTTTTGTTGTTTTTTTTTTTCATAATTCAATAACAAAATTTTGATATGATTTTCGATTTATTAGAAGAAGAAACCGTTACAAATGTGTGATTCAATCATCGAATATAATCGAGACAATTTCCCACTTTAATGAAACAGCGTAAAAAAGTTTTGTTATTTAAAATTTTATTAAATTAAAATAAATTAACATTAAAATAGAATGAAATAATTTAAAGCTGAAATTGAATTAGAAATAAAATGGTTAAAATAATAATAATGAAGAAACTGGCTATATGCAGTTATTATTATTATTGATGTTATTTCGCGCTAAATCTCGCCGTGCAGGAGTGAGTGAGTGAGTGATTGAATGTTGAGTGAGTGAGTGAGTGAGTGAGTGAGTGATTGAATGTTAAGTGAGTGAGTGATTGAATGTTGAGTGAGTGAGTGAGAGAGTGAGTGAATGAATGAGGGAGTGAGTGAGTGAGCTATCAGTGGCAATAGTACAAATAAATAATGATGATACAAGATGATAATAATCATTACACAATTAAGGCACTAATAGTGATGATGATTTAAAAGTAGGCATATAAGAATGAGTAAAACATTATTTTAGAGTCGATGGTGATGATGATAATGCTGGTTGTGATGATGATGGTCTTAATGTTGTTGATGATGACGATGATGGTAATGCTGAAAACAACATAATGATACACAATGATAAATCATGATACATGATATCAAACGATTAAGATGATAATAGCAAATGAATGTGACATCGATTGGAGATGATTGTGATGAAGATTAAGTTACATTAAGACTACACTGTGCTATATAGAAAAACATATGTATATATATATATATATATATATTTATTTATATGTGTGTGTGTGTGTGTGATATTGTGTGTGAGTGTATGTTGTTGTGTTTATACCTATTATTAGTAATTCTACAAAAAAGTTGCATCACGTTCGAAACATTTTTAAATGGTTATTTTATGAGAAAATAAAGTATTTTGTAGTCAAGAAAGTTATGATTAAGTAATTTAAATACTTTTTTTATGATAATAAATTAGAATAATAATTCAGAAAGGGAAACGTATTTACACAATAACCCCTCACCTAAAATGTTTAAGTAATACAGTGTTTGTCGAGATAAGAGCTGAAAATTCCTAAAAAAATTTTTTTAATAAATTCGTGACACCTATTATGTAATAGAAATAATCATAATAATCATAATAGCCATAATGAGATAATAATAATATAATTACAATAATAATAATAATAAAGATAATAAATGATTAAAAGAATAAAGCATAACGTCAATTGATGATTCTCTTGTACACGATGAACCTCCATTGGTTCATCTCGTTTCATAACTCCTTCCCCTTCAACTCATCTGAATATTCGACATCGGTCGGATAGAGTCTCGATATCGGCATCGTATCCGGCATTGTATCGACTTTCTCGGACTTTCTCAACCAATAATCCCACAATCCGCATATAATCTCTGTCGTAGTGATGTTGTTAGTGTTGTGCGCGATTAACCGTAAGAGGAATGTGCCATCCTGCTTTAGATATCTACTGGCAAACTCGCGAATATTCGATTTTTCGTCGATCTCTTCGATCTGGTTGACCCGACTGCCGAGTAGAAGATGGTTGCGAATAAATTTGAGACGATCCCTAAAGAACAACGCCCTCATGAACCACAGGAAGAAGCTTATGGTGCTGGCGAGTAGGACAAAAACCATCCAAAACCAGAGGAAGAAATAAATTTTCTCGTTGTAGAGATTGATGGGTAGTACGCACTGGATGGTGTAGGGCTGCACGTTGGCCATATCTTGACCCCTAATGTAAAAATCGCAGTAGGTCACACGTGGGAATGCCACGTGATTTTGTTCCGTCCAATCATCCGTTGACATGATGAGCCGGATCAAATCGACACCGAAAGTGTTAAACTTGATGGAGAGTACGCCGTTTAAAACAAAGAGCTGAGCAAGGATGTTGACGATGTAGCAGAATTTTGAGAAGAGGAAAAGGATGACCAGATAGTTTCCGAGTCTGGAAGAATGAAAAAAAAATTTTCAAGATAATTATTTGAGCATGAAATCCACCAGTTATATTAGTAAAAACCAAATTAGCTATAAATATTTTCATTAATTTCGTAATTTCAATTGATATCATGATATTTAATGATTATGTTGTCGTGATACATGTGATGATATCATAATATCACATGTATCAATAATATCATCACATGTATCACATGTATGGTCGTGATACATGCGATGATATCATGATATCATAACCAGTGGGAAAGAGACGACGAAATAATGAACATGAAATCAACATAGAGCTACATGTATTACGCTGCTAGTAGTCAAAAAGATATTCTTTTTTTTACTAATTTCATACCGATAAAGTAAGGCAGAAACAGTACCGAACAGACACACATCTACAACGCAACACACACACACACAAACATACACACATAACACGGAAACACTTTTACACACATACACACTCAAACACACACATATACACTCAAACACACACACACACATACACACTCAAACACACACATATACACTCAAACACACACACACATGCAACACACACACACGCAAACACACACGTCATTACACACAACACACACACCATTACACACACATACACACACAAACACACATATAAGCAGGGCAAAGCGCCCGAGACGACAGGTGTATTAACTATTGCCCCATCCTCCGGCCCTTCAGTGAAACTTTAAAAAAAGATTAAATGCAAAAAATAAGTAAAATAATGAAACCTATAAAATAAAACAAATGAACTAGTAAGTTTTACGCATATTAATTAATTCGAATTAATTTTCTTTTTTTGGTCTCCGAATCATACATGCTTTTTTGTTTTGTTTGATTGAATAAAAGTGATTTGATTTGATATTAAATGCATAACACATTAAGAGCATAATACTACAATAGCAATAATAGACAGCTATAAAAGTGCCAAAAACTGCCATACAGACAAGCAAGCAGTTATTTATAACTAATTAAATTTACGGTCCTTCTCTTGAAGTTGAGTTTAAAAACAAATAACAATAAGTTGAGATAGTTATAACTCGACCACTCGTTTGTAATGCCATACGGGTATATAAAATTATAACGATATAATAATTATGTAGATATTTTGTGATTTCATTATTATTATTATTTTATATATTATTATTATATATACAATACATAATAATTAAATAGTTTTATTCCATAATTAAAAGTTTTGAATCCACATAAGGCTTTCGTTTCAACGATTCGACCACTTTTAGAGTACCGATGTACTAACGCTTTAGTACCAACATAACAACGTTTTAGTACTATTGTACTAAAATTTAAAGTACCGTCACACCAATTTCAACATAATCATTTTTTTTTATTATCATTCGCATTCGATATTATTATATTTATTAACAATATGTTAATATTATTTATTTTTTTATTTGTTTACGTATTCTTTACATTGTTTTTATCTCGTGCGTACAAAGTATACTCCTCAAGTGTCCTACTACAAATAATCAGTTAAACTTATGGCTTATAAATAAATATCCACAACTGACAAACATACAAACAAACAAACAAACAAACAAACAAACAAACAAACAAACAAACAAACAAACAAACATACATACATACAAATCAGCATAAACACATGCACACATACATACAAACTAACACACAAACAATCAAACAAAAACAAAACAAGAGTACAGTACAAACACACCTATCAGGTCCGGCTGATTCCAAAATTTAAATACCTTAATTTATTTTATTTATTTTCCATTTTTACAAAGAGTTTTATTTCAAATTATTCTTCAAGTTTGTACTTTTAGTTTTTAAAATTATTAAATTATTATTCAACAATCTGTAGCCTCTTGGTTATAAATGGAAGTAAAAGTATAGACTTGTTTTGAAAAAGTCAAATGGTTGTGTTAATAAAATAAACACACACACACACATCTATACATACATACACACATGTGTGTGTGTGTGTGTTCGCGAGCCAGAGATAAACATAGACAATCAGATAAAATGATGGTATAATTAATCATAACTAATGATACTTAATCACAATTAACCACACATAAACACAAACTCATTTAATAAAACTTGAATAAATGATTTACATTGAAAATGTAATCGAGGTCTGAACTCTGTCTGAGCGAGCATACACGCGTTTAAATACACGTCACGCATGCCTAATGATCAATTTTTTTTGATTAAATGACCATAAACGACTCTCTCTCTCTCTCTCTTTTTCTCTTTTTCTTTTCGACTTCTCTCTCTCAGCCTTTCACTTACTCATTCCGTCTCTTTCTTCATCTTTCAGTTTTGAACTCCCTCTTTTTTGTTTCTTTTTTCAGTATTTCTGCCTCTTTCTCAGTCTCTCTCTGCCTTTCTCTCTCTCTCTCTCTCTCTGCCCCCGTTATCTCTATCTGACAAAACTTTTTTAGTTTTTCAGTTAACAAGCACACAGCCAAGCAGCAGTGATCGAATCTTCCACATTAGTATGCAGCTCATCTCATTGCCATCATTAGCGCCAGACACACACACTTACTTGTGTCTAGTCGTTGTATAAAATAGCGTAGTAATTTTATAATTAGTAATTACTAGATGTAATAAGCATAAATGCACTCATTACATTTGTGGAAAGGGATTCTTTTTGCATTCAAACTCGGTTACGACAATAGCACGAGCAGGCACCTTAACCACTACACCACCTGGTTGCTTAAATGGTCTATAATAAATACATTCATGTTCGTTGTTTGCGGTTGTACAGTATTTGTAGTATATACTTATGTTTAAGTTAATAATGTATAGAGTATATATTGTGTTACAGTAAAAGTAGTAATTGTACTACCTAGTACTACCGATGGTATGTAGTATTTGTTTGTTTTGTTGGTGTCGTAGTCATGTGCATTATAAATTAACTCGCTCGCTTATAAGCGTGTTAATTGAATTAGCGCGGATGGAATTTTAATCGGATCTCATTAGCATTAAGCGGTTGAATGGTTGACTGACTGGTTGGCTAGCTGGCTGATTGGTTGACTAGCTGGCTGATTGGTTAACTAGCTGGCTGATTGCTTGAATGGTTGACTGATTGATTGGCTGGCTGATTGGTTGGTTGGCTGGCTGATTGGTTGGCTGGTTGGCTGATTGATTGGTTGAATGAATGATTAGCTGGCCGATTGATTGTTGGGTTGTTGATTGGTTATTGATTGGTTGTCCAGTTGATTGGCTGGTTGGTTGGTTTTTTTGAAAATAGCAAATTATACATCAGATTCAGAAGAACTTACAACATCGGACACGCAGACACACTCAGAGAAAAAGAGAAAGAAAGAGAAAAAAAGAGAAAGAGAGAGAGGAGAGAGAAAGATAATAACATTAATAACGTTTGCAATTGTAGTCAATAACAAATTTCAGCTTATTTATTATTATTGTTGACAATGCTGATAACGAAAAATTATGCAATTAGATAGTAGTAGTAGTAGTAGTAGTAGTAGTAGTAGTAGTAGTAGCAGTAGTAGTAGTAATGGTGGTGGTGGTAGTAGTTGTAGTAGTAGTAGTTGCTTTTGTAGTAGTTGTAGTAACAGTAGCAGTAGCAGCAGCAGTAATAGTAGTAGTAGTAGTTGTAGTAGTAGTAGTAGTAGTGGTAAAAGTAGTAGTAGTTGTTGTTGTTGTAGTAGTTGTACTTACCTTCTGCCGCACAATCCACAGCAGCAGATCATAAAGCAGCTTCTGGTATTGCAGCCACAACCCTTCTTGCGATTCAAGCGATTCGATAAGAATCTAAGAAAAAAAAATTAAATTCAATAAAATAATAACATTGTTATAATCTTATTCCTCTTTCTCTTGGTGTCTTTCTTTCTTTCTTTCTCTCTCTTTTTCTCTCTCTCTCTCTTTCTCTGTCTCTCTTTCCCTTTCTGTTCCTTTTTTACAAACGCGAGAACAACAGCACAAATTGGAGGACTTCGACTCCTAACAAAATCACTGCTCCATTTCTGTCTCACAGTAAGCCGTCCAACGCATCAAATATAATAAAATTTATATTATTTATATAATTATGATTTATTATTGTTTTTATTTTTGTTGCCATTTTTATCAAGTCCACGACCTGTCCATTTGATTGGTCAGCAGTAGCATGGTCCTCTTATGGGCATCTGATTTTTCCATCCTTGATAAACTATGAGCTGACTGCATGATGCTATCGGCGTCGATCCCAGCTTTGCTGTTCATCCCGTGCCAGACTGAAAGATTTTTATGATTTGAAGGATGAAATGATTGAAGCAATGGATTATGTGATTGTGGATGAGTAAAAATGATTTTAGTGGGTGATTATGAAGCAGCATATAAAGTTGAATATTATGATTCGTGATTTTAAGTGAATGATTGGGCTCTAACCAATCGTAGGAAGGTAGAAGAGAACAGCTTGGAATAGTAGTATGAACGGGACCCACTGGTAGTAGGGAATCATCTGCTTCTTCTCCATCTCCCGCGGCACCTCATTTTGCCACGGTAGGTAGTAGGTATTCTTCACCCAGCAAAAATTTGTGGCAAACCTTATAAATTTTGAAAAAATTTTATAAAAAAAACTTTTGTCCACCCAATATAATTTCTTTCCTCTTTGTGAGATTTCAAAATTTCAAATTTGTTTGCCATTTCATATCTTCTTCACAGTATAACTTCGTTATCATGTATGATACATTTGTGGCCCGTTACATTCAAGTTACGTTATAAAAGAGAGCGTTATTGCTAAGTTTTAATCAAATCGCTCTTGCAACAGGTGACCCGTTACACAAAAATCAGTTATATAGATGGAAATCTAATTAAAAACAAGAAATGCCTAGTAACTAGATGATACTGTTTAAATTAGAAAAACTGTATTAAAATGATTTCATACACAAAATGAACAGGATGTAGAGTTTGAAAATTACTCTGTGAAAAGTTTTTAGGTGAAATCAATTAGTTTTATTTATGTTATCAATTTTATTAGTCATTATTATTAATAATAATAATATTTTTATTATTATTAGTGAAATAACATTTGATATATTTAAGGTTATATAAGTTATTAAAATTATTATTTATATTACAATAATAAAATAAAGTTATAAAAGACTTTCGCGGAACACATTCAATGTTTACTCGTCTGTAAATTTTTTTTGTGTCAAATAGAAATAATAATCAAACTTTAATTAAATAATCCATTGATTTACCAGAGATTCATCATAACATAAGACGCTACAACAATCAATCGATCGATCAATCGATCAATCAATCAATCAATCAATCATAACATCATCAACCACAACTTCTAAACTTTACAACAAACCTTTCCAACAAAAAGAAACACCCACAAAATCCAGTCAAACAGCCCCCAACCCTAATACAGGCCCAGACAGACTTCGTATGAGGTCCAGTGAAATGTACAGGTGCCCAGCACGTAATAGGATTCCTAACGTATTGATTCATTCCGACCAAGACTGCAAATAGCACCAGCAAGACGACTGTGTAGCGAGAACTGAGGCGATCCGCAAAATCGTCATCGTTCGAGCTTCGAACTGATGACGCGCCGGCTATCAGACTCACGAGACGATCCATGTTGTTGTTCGGTTAGTTAGGTGGCTGTGTTGTTTATTTTGTCGTTGTCTTGGTTTTTTGTTGATGTTCTCGTTGCTGTTGTTGTTGTTTATTTGTTGTTGTTGTTTGTTTGTTTGTTTGTAGTTTGTTTGTTTGTTGTTGTCAGCTTCGGTATCCAATTTAGAATTGTTTTGAATCTCGTAGAATGTAGATTGTGGATTTTAATGTCTGTCTAGTAAATTTTGTGTGAAAGTCATCAGAATCTTCTGACAAACGACATACACAGAAGAGATAGATGTTTTTTTGGTATTCCTGACGAGTTCCTTCATTAAATTTTGCCCAAACTTGAAGATTCTTTAAACAGTGGATGAAAATTTTTACGAATATTATTCAAATGAATTCTTTAATGAATAATTTATACTATGTATGCTATATTATAAATATATAATATTATAATATATAATAATAATAATAATCATACAACAGTACTGAGATATAGATAAACAAAAGGCAGTACGTATTTAACTTTTTAAGTTATCTTACAAAATGGCAAATTTTAAACTTAAATTTCCATTAAACTGTAGAAGATTCTTAAAAATTATGTTACAACAAACAAAAAAGTTGTATTAACTGTGCGTATCTACCGACCAACTAAATTGGCAAATAAATATAAATGGTAGAAAAACNGCATGACAAGGTCACATCACATGATAACAATTTGTTACATCCCACCCAACCAAACAGCGTCCCTTTCGAGTAAACTTTATACATATACAAACTGTATGTTTGTATATGTATATACAAACATGCAAATATATATACATACAAATATACACACATAAAAGTACGCACACATACAAATATGCAAATATACAAACATACAAATATACAAACATACAAATATACAAACATACTAATATACAAACATACAAACATAAAAACATACAAATATACAAACATACAAATATATAAACATACAAGCATACAAATATACAAACATACAAATATACAAACATACAAATATACAAACATACAAACATACAAATATACAAACATACAAATATACAAACATACAAATATACAAACATACAAATATACAAATATACAAACATACAAACATGCGTACTACTAACCGAAACAAACACTGCGTCTGAATGTTATGCTAATGTTTGCGCGTGTTTACACGACATCCAATATCTATAGTTTTGGTTAGTAGTCCATGGTTACACTATTACAAATATATATATATATATATATATATATATATATATATATATATATAAACGCATGTGTGTGTGTATGTGTATGTGAATGTGTTTGTGTGTGCATGTGAATGTGTTTGTGTGTGTTTGCGTGTGTGAATATTTGTAACGCTGGCGTTATAATTCATCGTTTATCATTTGTAAATTTGTCTGTGTGTGAGTGTACATTTGTGTTTCTCACACCACACACACACACCACACACACACACACACACACATAAACACACACGGACATCGTAGTTTATGAACACGTGCTATGATGAATGAACTAATGTGAATAAACATTTTTGGTATATGTATGCATGCATGTATGTATGCATATATGTACCATTAAAAAAGTACTATTATATATATGTATATATATTTATATATGGTTGTGTGTGCGTGTGTGCGTGTGTGTAAAATATATATTGTGTGTGTATATATATGGCGTGGATGACATTGCACTTTGACCTGTTTATGGTATTAAACTGCGCCAAAATGTGTGATGATGATGGTGGAAAGATGACGATGGTGAATATGACGATGATATCACATCGTTACTTCAGCGAATTTTTTGACCATGTAGGCATTTTTCACTTCTGGCACTTTTATTCTCCACAAGTTAATGTTCTCAAATTAATTTTTTATATTTTTTCAATTCTTTCATTTCATATTTTCTTTTTCCTTTTTTCTTTCTACAGTTGCTTTTATCCATTTTGTAATTCGCCATTCATCCATGCGTTAATTCATTCACCATTCAGGCATTCATCCATCATTCATTCGCTAACTGGCTCAGCTGGAAACTAACGAAGACTCATAGCCAATGAGATTGCGAGACTAATTTGCCGCCTTTTCTCTCCTTTGTTCGTTTTCCCTGGCATTTTCGAACGTAAGTAAACTGCACGCACATGAAAACAACAAAACATTCCTATTATAAACATCACATACAAACGTACAAACACACACACATAAACATTCCTATTATAAACATCATATATATATAAACATACAAACACACACACACACACACACACACACACACACATAAACATTCATATTAGAAACGTTATACAGAACTATATACACATGTGAATATATACATGACACAAACAGTTAGGAAGCATTTTCGCGTGCAAACTTTATCACTTCATCATTTTGGATTATGTATGCGTACATTAGTAGTTAGTCAGTGCACACATATTTACAATATTTACACATCTGAGTGCAGGCAGGCACTGTAAAGTGCGCTTACCACTTACACACTTACACACTTACACGCGCACACACACACACACACACACACACACACACACACATGTACAGACACACACACTCTCATTTGTACTTATTTACATCTATACACACACACACACATACATACATACATACATACATAAATACGAAATGTAACAATGGAATATTGTTTTGTTCACGTACACACAGACAAAGTTTATGAACACAAACATGGTGGGTGTGTATATGTTTGTACGTGTGTATGTATGTATGTGTGTATATATGTGTGTGTATTTGTGCGTGTCGATATTTTGTCACATTCATCGATTGTATGTTGTATACATTCAAAACTCGAAAAGTATAAATGATAAAAAGTTTGCATTTTGGTTCTCGCGAAAGAAATTGAACGCTCCAAATTATAATTTCATTCGTCAGTGTAGGAAAATCATGCAATGACTGTGTTTGTGTGTGTGCGTGTGTATGTATGTGTGTGTATGTATGTGTGTATGTGAGAGAGAGAGTGTGTGTATTTCTGTGTGCATGTGTGTTTTTGTATGTGCGTGAGATCACAGCAACGCCAAACTAAACAAAAACCAGCACGTAGAGATTTAAACTTCTCATCTTCAGATGTGTTACAGCTGCAACTTTCTGAAACAACAAGAACAAAACTAGCCTCAAAAGTTGGATTGTGATGAACGAGGCAACTGCCATCGACAACAACATTCATGATAGCAACAAGAGGTTTTTTAAACAATACAAAAATATGGCACCGCCAATAACAAAAATGTAAAATGTAAATGGCTTTAAAATGTATCGCCGATATTATCATCATCATCACCGTCATCCTCTTCATCATCATCATCATTGTCGTCGTCATCATCATCATCACCATCATCACCATCATCATCACCACTGTAATCAACGTCATCGTCTTCCTCCTCTTCACCAACATCTTCATCATCATCATCATCATCGTCGTCATCATCAGCACCGCCATCTGCGTCATCGTCATCTTCTTCACCGACAATATCTTCACACCACCAACCTATCATCCAAAAACATCTTCCAAAGAAGATTCATTTTTCAAGCGTTACACGGTGCAATAGCAATCACAACAACAACAATAACAACAACAACAATAACAAAAACAACAACAATAACATGAATAACAACGACAAAACTAACGCGAAAGAACAAAAACATGACTACTACATCTATATACTGTAACTGCAATCGT